CCAAACATGTGCCCCAGAAAGTTGCAGAGAGCGAGCAGTGTTCCGGCCATAGCTCGAGAAGTAGACCGATCCCAGGTTTCTCGAACATGGACTGTCAGCGCTGCTGGATATGTTGCTTTGCATCAGACTTCTGTTTTGCTCTGAATAGCAATATGCAGCAAAGTGCAGAGTGCAAAAAGTTGCGGAGTGCGAGTAGCTGTTCGGCAATAGCTCGAAGAGCAGGCCAATCTCAGGCCCCTTGAGCCTCTGCGCTAATGCCTCCGATGCTGCTGAAGCTATTGGTGCAGACGAAACCGCTGTACCTGCTCGAAACCTCGAGATGAAGTTGAAAACGAGAACATGGGCTCAATGAAATTGCAGAGTGCGAGTAGTTGACCGGTCGTAGCTCGAGTCTGTGGCTGCATTATATCTCGAGATGAAATCGAAAAGCCGAACATTTGCCCAACAAAATTGCAGAGCGCGGCTAGCTTTTGACCATAGTTTGAACATCAGACCTATCTCAGGCTGCTCGATCTTGTGGGCTATTGCTTCTGATGCTGCTGAAGCTATTTTGATGCGTAAACCTTTACAGTAGCTCGAAATCGCAAGATTCAGGTCATCAGGCGACCATGGCGAGCAGGGATAAGATTGAATGAAGTTGCCCGGGAATAGTATGTCATTCGCAATGTTTTCGCAAACATCTGCCTGCATTTAAAACACGGAATTTGAACGACTTCTCTGTCATTGTTTCTAGAGCCAAACGAGCTAGCTACCCAGGAGTGAATCGCATTGCTCTTAGCTTCCTCGGCTTCGCCATCTGAGGGGCTCTACAACTCATTTCGAGAGCATGAGGTTGAAACTATCCAAAGTCATCCAAAGGTGCGTCGAAATTATCCGAGCAAACTAGCCCAGCGATGCTGTATAATTTCTCTCAGACCTCCGCTCATGTAAAAGCTCTACGAATCACTCTTGAAGCTTCACCAATTCGCGATGGACAAGCTCTACGAGTCATCCCCACTGGGCGCTGGCGTCAAACCGTCAACCAAAGTTACCGCCAGGGAACTCGTAGAGCTTCTGTTCGAGCAGAGACGCCTCTACACATGATCGCGTACTCGATTACAATGAGGTCGTGTTCCAATCGTAGCCGCTGAAGTGCGCAACTCTCGCCTAAACCTCCGTGCAAACTCATGTTCTGGAGGCTGAATCGTTCATTGGTCGTAAATCGGATCGGCGGCCGAGCTCGATGCTCTCGAGGCTCTGGACTGATCCTGTCGGTGCTATTGAATCAACTTCGCTGGCTGAGAGCTCTGTAGCTGCTCTGAATCTCGAGATCAAATCGAACAACCGAACATTTGCCCCAATCAATTACCGATTGCCAGAAGTTTTCCGACCGCTGCTCGAGAGGCAGATTGGCTTCACGCTTCTCGAGCATGGATTCGAGCTACTTACAGTGCTGCTGAACGTATTGTTGTACATGAGACGTCCGCTGCTGTTCGAATCAGCCCCGCAGAGTTGCAGAGAGCGAGTAGTTGTTCGGCCATAGCTCGAGTAGCAGACTGATCTCAGGCTTCTCGAGCCTCTGGACTGATGCATCTGATGCTGCTGAAGCTGCTGGTACACATGAAACTTAGGTAGCTTCCGAATCTTGAGATTAACTCGAAAAACCAAACATGTGCCAAACGTCGTTGCATGGTGCGAGTTGTTTTTCGGTCGTAGCTCGAGTGGCAGACCGATCTCAGAGTTCTCGAGCATGTGCATGCGAGCTTTCGATGCTGCTGATCCTGTTCGTCTACATAAAACCTCTGTAGCTGCTCTGGATGCCAAGATGAAGTCCCACAACCGAGCAGTCTTCTCACTCAATTGCAGAATGCGAATCTTTTTTTGGCCATAACTCAAGTAGCTGACCGGTATCAGGCCTCTCGATCTTCTGGGCGGATGCTGTTGGCGGTGCTGAAGCTGAGGGCGCACGTGAGAAGCTGCGCCAAATCTCGAGACTCAGTCGACGAGGAGGATGCGGATGAGAAGGAGGAGGAGGGGGATGGGGGGGGGGGAGAAGAAGGAGGGGGAGGATGAGGAGGAGCAGGAGGAGGAGGAGGAAGGGGAGGGGGAGGGGGAGGAGGAGGAGGAGAAGGAGGAAGAAACAAAGGAAGAGGAGGAGGAGAGGCGGAGGAGGAGGAGAAGGAGGAGGAGAAGGGGCAGGGGGAGGAGGAGAGGAAGAGGATGAGGAGGAGGAGGAGGGGGCGGAGGACGAGGATGAGGATGAGGAGGAGGAGGGGGGGAAACATGAGGAGGATGAGGAGCAGGAGGAGGTGGAGGAAAAGGAGGAGGAGGCGGACGAGGAGGGGGGGGGGAGGGGGAGGAGGAAAAAGAGGAAAAGGAGGAGGAGGAGTAGGAGGAGGATGAGGATGAGGATGAGGATGAGGATCGGGATGATGATGATGATGCTGATGATGATGATGATGATGATGATGATGATGATGATGATGATGATGATGATGAGGCAGATGATGATGATGATGATGATGATGATGATGATGATGATGATGATCATGATGATGACGACGATGATGATGATGATGATGATGATGATGATGATGATGATGATGATGATGATGATGATGGTGGTGGTGGTGGTGGTGGTGGTGGCGGTGGTGGTGGTGGTGGTGGTGGTGGTGGTGGTGGTGGGTGGTGGTGGTGGTGGTGGTGGTGGTGATGATGATGATGATGATGATGATGATGATGATGATGGTGATGTGGTGGTGGGTGGTGGTGGTGGTGGTGGTGGTGGTGGTGGTGTGGTGGTGGTGGTGATGATGATGATGATGATGATGATGATGATGATGATGATGATGATGATGATGGTGCTGGTGATGATGATGATGATGATGATGATGATGATGATGATGATGATGATGATGAGGAGGAGGAGGAGGAGGAGGAGGAGGGAGGAGGAGGAGGAGGAGGAGGAGGAGGAGGGGAGGAGAGACAGGAGGAGGAGGAGGAAAAGGATGAAGAGGAGGACATGTAGGAGGATATGGAGGAGGAAATGGAGGAGGAAGATGAGGAACATGGAGGAGGATTAGGATCAGGATGAGGAGGGGGAGGGGGAGGACGAGGAGGAGCAGGTGGAGAAGGAGGAGCAGGAGGGGGAGGAAAAGGAAGATGAGGAGGAGGAATCGTATGAGGAGGAATGGAGGCCAGGGGATGAATAAATGTTTAAGAAATATATGCAAGACCATGCAGATAACAATCAGGGTCATACCATTCGCAGTACATAGCCATTTTTATGGTAAGGGTATGACTAATACGAAGAGCAAGGGTCATACACCATGCCAATTGTATGACAAAGGGGCTGAGAAAGAACAAGGGGGCCAATCATATTTAGCAGGAGTATCAATAAGCACTGATACTAATACGCTCATGATATTACAAGTCATCGTACGGGTAATAAGACTGATACGGATAGTGCCAATCTTATTAGAAATAAGAATACTAGTAGCCGTTGTTAACATTACTCGTCGCAGTTGTAATGTAAGTTGCAGCTGTATTATGGATCATAATCCACACGGATCGTTATTCTAATGCATCCATGACAATGTTTTAAAGGACATTTTCCATGCCGTTACTATTTTAACGTATCGTCCTAGTACTATCAATAATAAAGCTACGCCGTAGAAACGCTAGTACGAATGCGTGTAATACTGATAAGAACTAGAACGCGAATAGTAACCATACTTTTTATTATAGTAATAACCATGTTACGACTGATATCCATATTGTGTATCATACAAATGGTAGGTGCACTGATAATGCTAAGACGACGAATCGTAGTAGCAATGGTACTACCAGTAGTGTTAATTTCATTAATAACATTAACACTAGCACTATCGATGATAGTAACAATATTTGTTCTACGAATGCTAGGACTACTCATAACAATGCGAGTTGTAAGTATATCCAAGACCACACATATTGGAATAGTATTATCATTGACCAGCAGCAGTTAGTAATGCACATAGTCGTAATAACAATAATCCGGACCAGACTAACAATATTAAGAAACATGATCAGGTTACCACTGAGAACTAGGACAATAAGAATGGTACGATTGTGAAGACATATCCCAGTATTACCCACAATACTTATTACTACTAACAGCCGCTAATGTCATTCTTAGTACCTTGCTTTGTACATAAGAATATCCACTAGAACAGATAAGAAAACAAATGGTGGGACGAATCGTATCACTAGTAATAATAGTGATACGAATAACAAGGGCAAGACGAGTAGTCAGACTCAGAGGAAGACTAAGAGTAGTATTGATAATACTAGGACAACTATCTAAACAATAAAAGAAACGTTCGACGCAGCATATCATTAATGGTATTCGTCATAAGAGTACGACACATAATAGTAATACCAGTAAGACTCATAGGACTAATACTCTCGTGGTACGAACAACATCAGTCATAATCATATGAATGCTCATGCCCATCATAAGTAGAGTCTTAAGACGAACAATCATACATATCATAGTAACATTTAGGTGAAACCATAATTATTGATACTTTACAGACGAAGCATAAGTAGGACAGTAATTCTGCTACTAATGGAACATATGGTTAACTATGACAACACGGATAACACTACTCACAATACTCATGTGAATATGAAGAATCATACTATCAAGAAAAGTGGAGTCGGAGGAGGAGGAGGAGGAGGAAGAGGGGGAGGAGGAGGAGGAGGAAGAATAGGGGGGGAGGAGGAGTGAGGAGGAGGAGGAGGAGAGGAGGAGGAGGAGGCGGAGGAGGAGAGAGGAGAGGAGTAGGAGGAGGAGGAGGAGGAGGAGGAGGTAGAGGAGGAGGAGGAGGAGGAGGAGGAGGAGGAGGAGAGGAGGAGGAGGAGGAGGAGGAGAGGAGGAGAAGGAGGAAGTGGAGGAGGAGGAGGAGGAGGAGGCGGAGGAGGAGCCTCCTCACCCGATTTTGTCCTCGTCGGGGGTTCGTCTTGCCCGGCCGCGCGCCAGACCGGCGCCCTTCGCGGGCCGCGCCGTCGCCCGCGGCGGCCGCGCGGTGGCGCGCGGGCCTGCGGGCGCCCAGCTCGCGCGCGATGGTGCCCTCGAGAGGGGCTGGCCGTCGGGCGAGGACTCGAAAAGGACAAAACGGCGTCAGCATAAACTCTGAGCGCTGCGCGCGGATTTCTTCGCTTTGCGCTGGGCCCCCCCTGGCGGCGCCTCCGTCGCCGCCCCTGGCGCGCTCCGCGCGCCAAAGGGGGGGGGGGGGTTCAGCGCAGATCCAGTGAGTCCGCGCGGAGCGCCACAAGTTCATGGTTATGGCGTTTTTTCTTCTTCCAATCATTTCTTCTTCCTCCCCCCCCCCCCTCCTCCTCGTCGTGTCCTCCTCCTCCTCCTACCTCCCCCTCCTCCTCCCCCCCTCCTCCTCCTCCTCCTCCTCCTCCTCCTCCTCCTCCTCCTCCTCCTCCTCCCCCCTCCTCCTCCGCCTCCCTCCTCCGCCTCCTTCTCCTCGTCCTCCTCCTCCTCCTCCTCGTCGGTTTTTTCTGCTCTCAAGGACGCCCTCGTGCCAGGGCGGGCGGGGCAGATCGGGGTCCGTGCTCTGCGTGGCGGTCGCCACGGTCGCGGCGTACACCCTGAACAGCTACGTCTTCCGCTGGATCGACGGCGCGGCCTTCACGTCCAGGCTCTCCTCGAAGAAGGAACAGGACAACGTGAACATATGTGTTCGGAGGAGGAGGAGGAGGAGGACGAGGAGGAGGAGGAGGAGGAGGAGGATTGATGCCTTCACGCCCAGGTTCTCTTCGAAGAAGGAACAGAACAACGCAAACATACAGTGGAGACCCATGCCAATAAACACCCTGCTTGCCTCCAGGTTGCCCTGGGTTTCTTGGGTTTCGATGGTTTTGCGATGGCGAGCGTGACGTTCCCACGCCAGAAATCAATTGACGTCCTGGGGTCTCGCGGTTGGGTTTCTTGTGGAAGGTTTCCTTTGGTCGGGCCTCTCCTGTAAACATATTTTTCCGAGAGGGGGCTTCGCGCGGATCTTTCGGATCGTCGCTGGCTTCCCTTCCCCCTGGCCCACGGGGCGCGCCAGGGGCGGCGCCAGAAGTGCCGCCAGGATGGGCCCGGGCCCCGATCCAACAAGCCCGCGCGGAGCTCCGAAAGTGTGATTTCAGATGTCTGTTCTTCCTTTAGGCTCTTCCACCTCTGGCTCTGCCACGTGGGCGCCCTGCTCCTGTCGCCCGCCTTGTGCCTGCAGGGGCCGGGCGGGGTGCGCGAGGCGCTCGCGGAGTACCGGCCGGGCTGCGAGAGCGCGGCCTCGAGCCTCGCCCGCGACAGCTGCGTCTTGGCGCTCTTCTCCATGCTGGTGTACTACCTCTGGTTCCTGGTTCGGAGGATGAGGGAGGAGGGAGGAAGTGAGGGGGATGATGATGATGATGATGATGATGATGATGATGATGATGATGGTGATGATGATGATGATGATGATGATGATGATGCTGATGATGATGATGATGATGATGATGATGATGATGATGCTGATGATGATGATGATGATGATGATGATGACGATGATGATGATGCTGCTGATGATGATGATGATGATGATGATTGATGATGATGATGATGATGCTGATGATGATGATGATGCGATGATGAGATGATGTGATGATGATGATGATGATGATGATGATGATGATGATGATGATGATTGAGATGGAGGAGATGGAGGAGGAGGAGGAGGAGGAGGAGAGGAGGAGGAGGAGGAAGGAGGAGGGAGGAGGAGGAGGAGGAGGAGGAGGAGCAGGAGGTAGTAACTGCACAGGCAAAGCTGTGGGAGCTCCGCGCGTGTCTCCTGGACCGGCGCTGGGCTCCCCTCGCGCGCGCCGGCCCCGGCGCGCTCCGCGCGCCAGGGAGGGGGCCCAGCGCCGATCCAACCGAGGACGCGGACGAGGACGACGAAGACAAGAATTCCGCGCGGAGCTCCGAAAGCTTATCTTTGTGCAGTTCTTTCTTACGTTACAGGCGGCGTCCATGCTGCCAGGGCAGTTGCTCGCGGCCATCTTCCAGTCATCGATCGCCGCCATGTACCTGCTGTCTGTGCTCGTGCTGGGTGAGCGCTTCGCGTGGCCGAAGGCCCCGCGGCACCCCCGAGACGCCCGCTGGCTGAATTTCGCGCGCTCCTCGCGCCCCCCACCAGCCCTCCTCTGCAACCATTGCCCCGCTATGTCTTGCGGGGTCTCACGCTCAATCGCTATGGCTGGTGTCTTGTGGTGTCGTCTTGGCGCGTGCGGCCGAATATGATATACGGTCGGTCGTCGTGTTCTGTTCTCCGGTCCGTTCTTTTTGGTCTTCTTTGATGCGTTACTTGGTTCTATCTGGTTGCGGGCGCCTCGGCGCCTACAGTCAACGCGCCTAGTAAGGACGCGCGCCTTCATCTAGGGTGCCCTTGTGTCCTTGCCTCCGCGGCCCGTCCTTTGCCGTTTTCACTGTTCGCCCGCCGCCCGAAAAAGTCCAACGTCCGCCTCCATGACGAGGAGGAGGAGGAGGAAAATGAGGAAAATGAGGAGGAGGAGGAGGAGGAAAAGGAGGAACAGGAGGAAAAGGAGGCGGAGGAGGATGAGGAGGAGGAGGGGAAGGCGGAGGAGGAGGAGGAAGAGGAGGATGAGGAGGAGTAAGAGGAGGAGGAGGAGGAGGAGGAGGAGGAGGGGGGAGGAGGAGGAAGAGGTTGAGGAGGAAGAAGAGGAGGAGCAGAACTAATCACAGTAATTGTACCAATCAGAGTATTCGTATGAATATCAGTAAGACTGCTAGATCGAAATAATCATACGAATAGTATCCAGTAGCAAAACAAGAGGAGCATTATTGTGAATCATAATGCCACTAATGATAGCTGTGCTAAAACGACCAATCTTTCTGCTAATAGGAATAACCACACGAATCATAGCATTCATGTTAATCGGATTAATACTAAGAGTTGTACTGCTACGAATACTAGTACTAATACTAATAGTACTGCTGACACTAAGAATAATAAAGTCATAAGACGGGACATTCGAATTTTAAGCATAACGTTAACAATGACAACAATGATGCTGACTGGTAATGGTAATACGAATCGTACGAATACCATTGAAATCTATCATTACTGAGCATAAAAATGGTAATGCTGTCATTCATGCCAGTGCTAATAGTACTAGGACTAATAGTACGCAGTTTCATAATCTGCTCAGTAAGATGAATATGAATCATGCTTCTGCTGCTGGTGATGATGATGATGCTGCTGATGATGATGATGCTGATGCTGATCATGATGCTGATGCTGGTGATGGCAGTGCTGATTATGATGATAATGATGCTGCTGATGAGGAGGGTTATACTAATACTAATGATACTCATGATGGTATGAACTATATGATTTGTAATAATAGTAGTCACACTAGTAACATTAATATTACGTGTGCCAGTACTAGTAAGAGTAATAGTACTAGCTAGCACTAGTCATCGTGATAGTAATCGTACGAGTACGGGTAATAACATTAATCGTCGTAACAGTCATAGTAATTCTAATAGTATGAATGGTACTAGTAATCGTAATGACACTAGTAGTAGTGCTAGGAATAGTACTAGTAATACTATTCGTGGCATTTGTCGTACTCGTAACAAGGATAGGAATATTCACAATATTCGTAATAGTAATAGTAATAGTAATATTAGTACTTGTATTAGTAATAGTCGCAGTACCAGTATTAGTAATGGTAACAGTAATACTAATCATAGTAGTAATATCAAAATCGTAATAGTCATAGTAATTGTTATATTAGTACTCGTACTAGTATTAGTATTAGTACTAGTACTAGTACTAGTACTAGTATTAGTAGTAGTAGTAGTAGTAGTAGTAGTACTAGTACTAGTACTAGTACTAGGATAGTACTAGTACTAGTAGTAGTTACGAGTACTAGTTACTAGTACAGTACTAGTACTAGTACTTGTAACAGTAATAGTAATAATAACAGTAATAGTTAATAGTAATCGGAATAGTAATAGTCATGTAATAGTAATATTCCTAGTAATAGTAATAGTAATAGTAATATTAATAGCATATTAACAGAGTAATAGTAATAGATTAAGAGTAATTAGTAATAGTAATAGTAATAGTAATAGTAATAGTATAGTAATAGTAATAGTAATAGTAATAGTAATAGTCATAGACTAATGTAATGGTAATTAGTAATAGTAATAGTAATAGTAATAGTAAGAGTAATAGTAATCTTACAGTACACGAGTAGTAATATTTAATCAGTAAGCATGAATAGTAATAGGTAAATGTAATAGTAATAGTAAGAGTAATAGTAATAGTAACTCCAATAGTAATTAATAGTAATAGTAATAGTATAGTAATAGTAATAGTAATAGTAATAGTGAATTAGCAATGGTGTAGTACTAGTAATAGTAATCGTAAAAGTAAGAGTAATAGTTAATAGAATAGGTAGGGAATTAGTAATAGTAATCGTACTAGTAATCTTAATCATAGTAGGACTAGTAATAGTAATAGTCATATTCATAGTAATAGTAATATTAATAGTAATAGTGATGTACAGTAATAGTAATAGTAATATTAATAGTACTAGTAATAGTAATATTAATAGTAATGGTGAGGTTAGTAGTAATAAGAATAGTCATAGTAATAGTAATTGTATTAGCAATCGTAATAGCAATAGTACTAGTAGTAGTAGTAGTAGTAGTAGTAGTAGTAGTAGTAGTAGTAGTACTAGTAGTAGTAATAGTAATAGTACTGGTATTAGTAATATTGCAAGTAGTCGTACTAGTACTTGTAGTAGTAGTAGTAGTAGTAGTAGTAGTAGTAATCGTAATAGTAGTAGTAATCGTTATAGTAATAGTAATAGTACTACTGGTAGTAATAGTAGTAGTACTAGTCGTAGTATTAGTAATAGTCGTAGTATTACTTCTTGTATTTGTAATCGTAATACTAGTAGTAATCGTAAAAGTAGTAGCAATAGTAATAGTACTCGTAGTAGTAAGAGTAATAGGATTAGTAATTTTAGTAGTAATAGTAATAATCATTGTAGCAGTAGTAGTAATAGTCATAGTAATAGTAATAGTAATAGTAATAGTGATAGTAATAGTAATAGTAATAGTAATAGTAATAGTAATAGTAATAGTAATAGTAATAGTAATAGTAATAGTAATAGTAATAGTAATAGTAAAAGTAATAGTAATAGTAATAGTAATAGTAATAGTAATAGTAATAGTAATAGTAATAGTAATAGTAATAGTAATAGTAATAGTAATAGTAATGGTAATAGTAATAATATTAGTAATAGTAATAGTAATAGTAATAGTAATAGTAATAGTAATAGTAATAGTAATAGTAATAGTAATAGTAATAGTATTAGTAATAGTAATAGTAATGGTAATAGTAATAGTAATAGTAATAGTAATAGTAATAGTAATAGTAATAGTAATAGTAATATTAATAGTAATAATAATAGTAATAGTAATAGGAATAGGAATAGGAATAGGAATAGGAATGGGAATAGGAATAGGAATATGAATGGGAATAGGAATAGGAATAGGAATAGGAATAGGAATAGGAATAGAAATAGGAGTAGGAATAGGAATAGTAATAGTAGTAGTAGTAGTAGTAGTAGTAATAGTAATCGTAGTAGTAGTAGTAATAGTAATAGTAATAGTAATAGCAATGGTAATAGTACTAGTAATAGTAATAGTAATAGTAATAGGAGTGGTAGTAAGAGTAATACTGATAGTGGTAGTACTAGTACTAGTAGTAGTAATAGTGATAGTACTAGTAGCAGTAATAGTAATAGTAATCGTGCTCGTACTAGTACTAGTACTAGTA